AAAAATAAAATCTATATGGATTATATTCATTTTAAGTGTAACTCAGATTCTATTAAGTTTAAATTTACACCACATACTTCATTTTTGTATAACTTTCAGACTCATTTTTAGGATCTGTTTATTTAACTTTTTCTGAATCTATTTGCCGAAACCTTTTTCACAAAAACATAAAATTAAAATTTAAAAAAAAAAAAAAAAAAACTCATTATTGTCATATGATTTTTTCTTTTTGTGAGGTGGAAATAATTTTTATTTAAATAAAAATGGTGTTTGATTTTATCAAACTAGTTTTTAATTTTTTTTTTAATTTAAACAATAAATTCTGAAAATTCAACCAAACATAATATTAAAGAAGAAGAAGAAGAAGAGTGAGCACTCTATTTATAACCTTGTGATTATTTGGGCCCATAAGGTTTGATTTTTTACAAATTTATAGTGGTCTGGTATATGGAACAATATGGACTGAACTTGAGCAACAAGCCCATGGACCGAGGATTGCAGTCCCTTCCCTTCACTTGGGTTTCTTCACTAATGGATCTTGGGCTGGGTTTGGAGGTCCATCATCACGAGTGTCCAAACGAGTTTGTGCCAACAAATTAAGGGGCGCTTACCAGTAAGTTTCATATACAAAGTTCAAAATCTATCTAATCTCAAAATAAAAAACTTGCATCCATTAGTCTTATATATTTTTAATTGTTACCAGAAAATCTCTTTTTTTTTTATATATATAAATTTAAAAACGTTGTTATATCCCACCACCGCTGGACTTCCGTCAGACAGTCATTAGAGACTCGCCGAAATGTTCAACATCACTGGAAAGTTCGTCAGAGTATCGCTGGAAGTTTGCCGGAGTATTTTGAACGGTACTGGAAGTCGTCGGAATGTCCAAAATGTTTGCTGAACGTTAAGAAAATCATCGAATATTCACCAAAATGTCCAGAATATTGCCCCAAAAGAAAAAAGAAAAAATGGAGAAATTGTAGTGAAAAAATATAACAAAATGTGCTACATATTAATAATTTGAAATAAAAAAAAACAAATAAATAAATAAATAACAACAACAACCAAGAACGATGGGGAAAATATATATTATTTTTACATTTTTGTAGGGTTTAAACAAATAATCTATCCAATATTGATCAAACTGAAAAGTAAGTTTTGAAACAGTATTTAAAGTTTCAAAGCATGATTCTATTAGGCATTTATCATTATTAATCAAAACTGTAAAATTTTACAGCTTTACAGAATATTATGAAATTGTAAAATTTTACAGTTTTAAAACATGATTCATTTCAGCACAAAAAAAAAACTAAAACTGTAAGATTTTACAGTTTTCACCGCCTGTAACTCAAACTCAAAAACAATTTGTTCAGAATTTAAAATTTTTCTCCATTAAAACAGGAAAATAGAAGTGTATAATAGAGAAAATATAGAAAAATTGAGAGATCGAAAGAGAGAAACAAAAATATAGAGAAGATTGTACTCCGACAACTATTTTTTGTTTAAATCTAATTTGTTCTCATGTAGATCTACTCAGATCTAAGTAGATCTACATAAGATTTGAGTAGATCTACTCATCTTCTTTGTCAGAAACTAATTTCCTTCGCGTCAGTGAGAGTAAAGTAAGGAACCGATGGTTAGTGGTTGGCGGTGAACCTCAATCAATGGTGGTTATCGGTCGCCGATGACTATATGTTAGAAAGAGAAAAAGAAAAAGTAAGGTGTGATTGCCAGTGGCCAAAAAGGAACAGAAAGAGACTGAGAATAATGAATACACAAAGAATAATGAAGAAGAAAAATACGCAGTGAACTTTTGAGAGTATCAAACAAGTTGTAAGACTAAATAGACTTATCTTCTTTTAAATAGAAATTCTAGGTAATTTGCCCATGAATTAAAATTAATGAGGCATAAGACCATATCCAAAAGGAGTATTGAATATGATTGTAAGCTAGGTTAGCTCTTTACACCATAAATGTATTATTATTTTTTATTTATAATACTATCAATTTTTCTTTTTTAAATTCCAAAATATTAACAATCTGTGTCAATTGAAAGGTGTGACATCTAGTGTTTTTAGGTGGTGAAAGGAGGTGGTGAGGGTTGCTGGAAGAGATGGGAATAAATCATGAGAAAAAGAGGAACGGGGAGAGAGAAGATGAATCGAAGGAGTATATAGTAGGAGAAGGAAATTAAGGGCTTCTAAAGCAGGGTGACCAAGAAGAGAAATGGCAGAGTAGAGTAGAGTGGAGAGCGTTTTGCGATAGTAGTGGAGGGAGATGAGAAAGGTGATATCAAAGACAAGTAGTAGTAAGGGTGTAAATTTGGCCTGGCCTCTACCAAAATTCAGGTCAGCCCACAAGCCAAAAAATTAGGCCCAGCCCTAGGGGGTATTCAGGTCTTGGGCAGGCCTTGAGCCGAGCCAGTGGACTAGGTCGGTGGGCCTGGGCTCGGGCATAGGCAGGCATGAACATTTATTTTATTTTTTATTTTTTTTATTTTTTTTGCCAAAAAATTATTATTTTTTATTAAAAATTACACTAGGCCTCGGGTAAAGCTTTGAGTAGGCCTTAAGCAGGTCGATGGGCTGGCACACAGGCCAAGCTTCAAAATGATAGCCTAGGCCCAGGATCTCGAGCTGGGCTCAGGCCCGAGCCCTAACAGACAGGGCCCACCCTGGGTCACTGGCGTGTTTCGAGCCGCGAACCTTTTTTACACTCCTAAATAGCAGTAAAAATGGATGGATAGGTGATGAATTGGGATTTTAGCCTTAATAAATTGATAAAATTGAAAATTAAATATTTATTTTGTTATAAGAGCTTAAACTTGAGATTTTTCATAAAAAATTTCATTTATCTATTTATTTAGAAAAATTGTGAGGATTTTTTTTTAAGGTCCCTAGTATTAAGATTTTATAGTATAAAGAATATCAAATATTTTCATAATGTCTAAAGTCCCTCAACATTGATCCAAAGAACTTCTCTGGACTTCCCAGAAAATTTTTCTCCAGAGAAATAATTTCTCTGGACCTCTGAGAGAATTTCTCTCTAGAGAAATAGAATTTCTCTGGTTCACTTTAAGCCAAAGAAATTCTCTCAAAATCAGTGAAATTCCCAAAGAAACCTTTCTAGAGAAATTCCATTTTCTGTGATTTCCAATGGCATGTCTTTACTTATCTCTCAAACTATTTCCAAAAAAAGGAAGTGCCAAGACAATTCAAGATCTTGAAAATATGTTCTTATTAGTAAAAGTCTCTTTCCCCTTGTTTGTTTCTAGAGTAGTTATTACAGGACAAACAAAAGTGTGCACCATGAATTGGAGCATAGACATGCACAATGCACACGGTTTTCTTTTTAGTTAGAGAAATTCTCTGCAACCCAAAGAAAATTCATTTTCTATGATTTCCAATAGCATGTCTTTACTTATCTCTCACGCCCACTTAGGTGTCGTTTGGTAAACCTGGCTTTTTGACTTTTTTAACTTTTTTAGTCTGGGACTTTTTTGTTCGTTTGGTTTTCTTGTTTGGCTTTTTTTCATTGGAATGACAAATATGCCCTCCACTTGAAAATGATGCTTTTTTGACTTTTTGTTTGTATATTGGTCAATTTGGTAATTTTGCATCAAAAGTCAAGTGTTTTGTCATGTTGTGATTTTATGACTTTTTTTTGTCCTTATGTGCTTATTTAGTCCCAATGTGTTTACCAAACGAAAGCTTAGCAATCAACCATGTATATATATATATATAGAGAGAGAGAGAGAAAGCAAACCAGGGGATGAGAGTTATTTGTGGATGACATGGGAGTCTTTGTTGATCACCATTTTTTCCTTTTCATCACCATGAAACATTGTTGCCCTTATCTTTCAACTTTCAACAAAACTGAGCCATACTTGTGACTACTACAATTCTGATTTGTTAGGCTTGAAAAGGACTCATCATCATCAACTTTGATACTCTTCATTTCATAACTATTAGTATTGTTTATAGGTTGAGATTGTGAAGTTTTGTTCTTTTTAGATGATCGCGAGGAAGATAAGAAACCAGTGAGCCTCTACACCAAGGCCATGAAGAGCTTAGATCGTTTGTTGAGGGGGCCATGTTTGTCCTCCAAAGGGTCCTCTACCTCCAGCTTCACCAGCACCATTTTCACGCTCTAAGATTCCGATTCCGACGGAGATTTTCCAGAAGTCATCAACTGAACCATCAATCTCTCTCGATCAGCTGCGAATTTGACCCCAAAGACCTTCAAAAACAGAATTTCGAAGAAACAGCGAGTCGATTAGAAGAATCTAAAAGAAAGAAACCCTTGAAATCGAAGCCCAATAAATTTTTTATGAAACTGTCAAAGAGAGAGAGGGCTCACTAAACTATATAAATTGATCTCACGCGCTTCAAAAAGCAGCTCATTGAAGGATTTTAGATATCACACTATAATGTTATAGATCTCTTTTGTTACTAAAAATAAAAGAGAGAGCTTAAAACTAATTTTTTAAAAATTGTGAGCGTAAAGAGTAGTATAATATAGGGTGTAAATAGTGCCTCCGTGCTCGGATCTGCACGCACGATCACCGAATCCACTTTCCAAGGCATCAAGGATCCTCTAAAGTAAAATTTTTCTAAAATTTTCTAGAGTGCTACATTGTGTTGTTGAAATTTACTGACAAGTCTAATGTGACTTACCAATAAATCTCAACCACACAATATAAAACTCTAAAAAATTTTAAAAAAAAATCGCTCTATAATCCTTACTCCCCCCCCCCAACCTATATTGTTTATTTTATTTTTCTAGAAAAGACGTACGTCTTTTAACCCCTGACACAGCCTCTCAGATTCCAACACGTGTCCTCCGTACATGACGGATTGTTCTAATCCCACTCCAAATCTCTCCTTTTCCAAATTACCGTACAATCGCTAAATGCACAAACAAGCTGTATTCACTCTGGCAAAATCCATAACTTCCCTGGCAACACAAATTCACGACTTGTACACGCACATGCAAGCAGAAAAACCAGAGAGCTCGCACAGAGACGATAGAGAGAGAGAGAGATGCAGCTAGTGAATGCGGTGGCGGTGGTGAGAATGGCGGCGAGGGCGGCGGCGATGGGGGCAGAGGAACCAGGACCGATTGCGTTCGGATCGGTGTGGTTCTTCATATACGCAGGGATCTCGTGTGGACTCGTTCTTTTCGCCGGAATCATGTCCGGCCTCACCTTGGGCCTCATGTCCCTCGGCCTCGTCGAGCTCGAGATCCTCCAGCGCAGCGGCACTGCTTCCGAGAAGAGGCAAGCAGGTCTCTCTCTCTCTCTATCTCCTCATTCCCCAATTCTCTCTCTTATATTGATGATCTGCGGAATGATTTGCATTTGGATCAATTGTTATGAAACTAGTGAAGAAGATGTATATATATATATATGATATGATGAATTGAATCGTATTTGGATTAACCAAATGGAATGTAGTGATTATGAAGATTTTAAGTTACATTGTGCAAGTGATAGATGGACGGTTATGATTTACGAAAGGAAAATGATATATAAGTGCACTTTTTGAAAATTGGGTCTAATTTTTGGTTTTGAAAAGTAATGCACTTTATGAAATGATTTGTAATGTTCTTTAAAATCATCATCACTTTACAAGTGTTAATGGAAAGCTGATAAAATTACTAACTTTTTGTTATGAAACAGTGGTGATTTGGGTATCGAAGTAACCAAAAATTGAGTCAATGGGAAATAAACAAGCGAACATCAAGACACAAACGATTTATGTGGTTCGGCATATAGCCTGCATCCACGGACTAGGCAGTAAGAATAATTCACTTTGAAGGAAACAAGTTTACAGGTGGACTTAATTGTTACTCACACCCTCAAACTGAGTACATCCAGAAACATACCCAAGCCTTTGTATAGCCAATTCTCTATGCAAGAAAGTCACTCTATGCTTCTCTATGTAATCGCTCAATATTTCTCTAAGATTTGTCTTTGTTTGATTTGTGCTGGATTTTGAGAAATCAAACTCCTATTCATAGTTGAATTTGCAATTATAGAGAGTTGTGGGTCATCTTGTAAATACAAGAACTTCCAATTTTTCAATTCATGTGGCTGGACAACACCACTCTCTAGTCTTCTAAATTCACAGTTATAAATGAATGCTATTGTGCATTAAATGCTTTCATATGGGTGGTGAAATGGAGACAAAACTCCAACACTTTTTGATGAAGCGGATGAGCAACTTCCCAGTTGGCAGGGGGTTTGATTGGGAAAGAGGAGGAATAAGTTATGAATAGTTTATGCCTTAAGTTTGTGGATTGTATTGGGGAACGGAATTGTAGGCATTTAATGGTATTGTATAAGTAAGAGTTCTTTTGTGGGTTTTTTTGTATACTTGCGAGTCGGGAGTTGTTAACTCCTCTCTCGTTCAATTCTTGGATTTTGTAGAACTTTTTGATACGCGAAAAGGTGTGTAGGGTTTTCTTTTTCTCCTTCTTCTCTTTTGTAAATGGGTGGCATTCCTTTAATGTCGTCTTTTAATGAGTCTTAATTATGAAAAATTATATTTTTTTTCATACTTAACTGTAGATTGCTTAAGGAGGAATTTGCAATGGATATTAAAATTTTGTTTTTCTTGGCTTGTGTAAACAAATTTTATTTATTTTTAAATGGGAGCTAGGTAAATTCTAGAGGTGATGCTAGTGGCTAATGAGAGCTTGGATTATAGATTGAGAATTTTGAGGTCTGGTTTAATATGTAGTCTTCATATTGAAGAAGGATGGGATCATGTTAATTGGGAGTTCATCCTTTATGGTATAAGATAGGATAGGGTTTGGGCTTAAATGGTGGGAATGGATTTAATTTTGTCTCTCCATAGTTAGGCTCTCAGTTTTGGTAAACTGTTACCAGCTAGGAAAGGCTTGCACCAGGGAGATCCAATGTCTCCCTTATTTTTCATCTAGGCAACAGAGTTCTTGAGTAGAATGATTCATGTGGAGGTCCAGTGGCTATCAGTGATTATCTTAAGAAAAAAAGTAGTGAATCCTTTTGGGACATTGCTTTTCATAGAGAGATGAATGATCAAGAGATGGTGGATCCTTTTGATCATCTTTATGGTATCCCTCACATTGGATAACGAGAGGCTGATTTGCGCAGACCAAGGTTGAAATGGGAATATCAAGTTGAAGTCCTTTTTTGATGCTTTAATGGGTCAAAGAGGGTTGTCCTTTCCTTGGAAAAAGGAATGGGCATCTAAGGATTATTTCAAGGTTTGCATTTTTTGTGTGGATGGCAATGCATGGGAGAATGCTTACAATTTATAATTTCATGAAGAAAAGGCAAATTCAAGTTAATTAGCATTGAATGTGTAAGGAAGATGGAGTGTCCTGCATGTTCATTATCACTTTTAATTTAAATGGTGATGAAAAGTATAGTTTTTTTCGTACTTTTAAGAGAATTAATTATGGAGGAATTTACAATGGATGTTGAATAAAAAAAAATTTGGCTGCTTGAATGATATTATTTTTGGTATTAAATAAGGCCAACAATATGCTGGAATTTTCTAATAATGCTCAATCTAATCAAATACCAAAAATAAAATTTCATAGTGTAACATTATAGTCGACATAATTGTCAAATAATGTACAATGTAGAAAGTCAAGTTTATATTTTTACCTTCAGTAAAGAAGATCAACGAGACATTTGAGGCATAATTTTGTGAGACTGTGAGTAGAAGGTTATAGTGTGAGGAAGGTTAAAAAGTGCATTACTAGAATAACTGTTTGTTGCTTCAATATGTGGCATACTTTAGGTGTTGTTAGGGCTATCATTATTAGAATGTTTCTGTCAGCAAACTTGTTCAGCATGTTGTTATCATATGGGCTTACATCATGTAATTTTTCTGTATTCAGCTGTTATCCTTCCGGTTGTTCAGAAGCAACACCAGCTTCTTGTAACTTTGCTCCTGTGTAATGCATGCGCTATGGAGGTAAGTGAATGAAATTTCTGTTTTTAGCAAATAAGTGATAGGTTCACTCAATGGTGGTCTGGAACTAAAATTGTACATGGGACATTACCCAGTGTTGGCTTCCATCAACCATGGGTGTTGGGAGGAGTAAGAGTGGAGATAGACCTAACCTTTGACATTATTTGTACATAATGGTTTCTCTCCAAGTCGAACCAGCGTTTTCACACTCGGAAGCCTGTGAATGACTGTTCTGTTTATTCATACTAGATTAAGTTTGCAAAATCTCATGCTTTACTTATGTTTATGCTATCTATTCCAAAATTCGAAAAGCACAATTAAATTTAACTGATACTTGTTTGCTTTGTTCTTTGCAATCTGCAGGCCCTTCCCTTATACCTGGATAAGCTGTTCAATCAGTTTCTTGCTATTTTGCTCTCTGTAACTTTTGTTCTTTTTTTTGGAGAGGTACATTACATTTAAAAAACATGATGAAGATTCATTCTTTGTGAACCCACAAAGTGGATGGAATTTATCTTAAAATTACCCTTCTATTGTCAGGTTATTCCACAAGCAATATGCACCAGATATGGACTTGCTGTCGGTGCAAATTTTGTTTGGCTTGTGCGAATTTTGATGATAATTTGCTATCCAATTGCTTATCCTATTGGAAAGGTAATTTCAACAATTTATAGAATGCTCATTTATAAACTTATTTTTACAAGGTTACCCTTGAGGTTTACTTAAAATACAGATTGCCCACAGTGTTTCTGGAAATTACATCTCACCCCTTCAAGTTTCTAATAGCATAACAAATGACCCTTTTTATTAATAAATCATCAACTCAATTAATAGTTTTTGATTATGTCAGAAATATATTTTAATTAACAATTCAAGTAATTTTATTGTTGCATAAAAGAGTAGTTAGGAATTTCAATTTTTCTGTTAATTCTTTTAAATAAAAACTACTGACAAGGGGGTGTTTGTAATTTCCAGAACCACAGGGGCAATCCATATTTTAAGCAAACCTTAGGAAGCGTATTTGTAATTTACTAAAAATTAAAATAAAATGAATGATATACCGTTCTACACCTATTTTTGAAAACTTATTTTTTAGCCATGTTTAATCTTTTGTTCTTGTAAATGCTTCTTTTTTGTGAACCTTAGTTGTTGTGGTATGTATATTTTACCTAATTTTCATGTTCTTCATCTTTATTTCAACCAAAAATTAAAATAAAACGTATGATACCATTCTGCACCTATTTTTAAAACAACATCATTTTTTGATTCAGTCTTGTTATTGTGATTAGTTGTGCAATTTGATCTTCTACTTTTTAACTATTTACGAAGTTTCTTTGGCTTTAGCTGAGCTCTTTATGTCATTCCAGATTCTAGACTGTGTATTGGGACATAACGATGCGCTATTTAGACGGGCTCAGTTGAAAGCTCTTGTCTCCATCCACAGCCAGGAGGTAAACTGCATCCATTTAGAATTTTTATATATAAATACTGCAAATTTTAATGTGGTTATGCTATGCAGAGGTTGAGAAAATGCTAAATAATGCCACAAATTCTCCTTGCTTCTTCTTTCTTGTCAAAAAAAATATCTTCTTACTTTTTCTTCATACAATAATATGATTCTTTTGCCATTTCTAGGCTGGTAAGGGCGGTGAACTCACGCATGATGAGACAACGATTATTAGTGGAGCACTAGATTTAACTGAGAAGGTACAAAGGACACTAAAACTGTCATTTTGAGGTCTATCAATTAATTGTCTATTTGACTTGCCAAGTTCCAGTATTACAGCCTTTTGGAAATAGGAAGTAGCAATTGCAGCATTTGAAACTAAGAAAAATGTCATGTTATTATTTTCCTTGGTGCCTTCTAGTACTTTGCAACCAAAAAATAAAGATAATATGACAATGATCCATATTACATCTGGATTCTTTTTCTGCCAAGTATAAATTTTAAAAAATTTAAGTGACTTTTATTCTTTTTTTTATCAGCAAAAATTTTAAGTGACTTTCCTAGTGATTCTTTTGGCCTGAACATGAACCTTCTGAACTGAATTTGTGGCCTAGTTTTGGTAGCCTAACTTCACTAAATATTTTTATTATTCAGTCCTTCCCTGAAATTCATTGTATCCCTTTTCTTTTTCTATTATTATTATTATTGTTTTTGTTTTGGGCAAATCTTCAGGCAATGTGTTCAGAATTTGTGCTCAACTCAACCCAGGCATTTCATTCCAAATTAAATGAACTGACCCCTGCATTTTGGAAAAACTGATGATTTTTCAAATTTGTTCAATGCTTCTGAATTGATTCTGGAGCACATCAAGCTCCAAATTTCCTTTTCCTTTTCATTTTCATTTTTTTTTCCGCAATATTTGCTACTAGATCTAAAATCTTGAGAAAGTGATGGACTCAAACTCCATCTATCGCTTCTTGAACAGACTGCTGAGGAGGCTATGACGCCCATTGAGTCAACATTTTCCTTGGATGTGAACTCGAAATTGGATTGGTTAGTGTTTCTCCTTGATATTGTTGTCCATGCGTTCCTTTGTCATAAGTTCATGATTTCAGTAGAAGTGAATTCTAGTACAGATGCATATTACATTTTTAATATTTTTCAAACTAATATCTCAGGGAAGCAATGGGAAAAGTTCTTGCTCGAGGCCATAGTCGAGTTCCTGTTTATTCTGGAAATCCAAAAAATATTATTGGACTTTTACTGGTGGGTTTTGTAACCTAAAACTATCAGTAAGTTTCATTTGTCAAGTACTTTTTCATATATTTTGAAATTAGGTGAAGAGTCTTCTTACAGTACGACCGGAAACGGAGACCCCTGTCAGTGCTGTTTCCATTCGAAGGATTCCACGGTGTGCTTATTCATCCTTACACATGCTTTTGTATGCTTTTCCAGAACTTAAGCATTGAAACTGACACGTTCATATGCGGAATGTTTTCTCTAGGGTTCTTGCTGATATGCCTCTATATGACATATTGAATGAGTTTCAAAAGGGTGGCAGTCATCTGGCAGCTGTGGTGAGGGCTAAAGGGAAAAATAAAATCTCCCCATCAACTGTTATTAAAGAAAAAGCTGAAGAGAACAAAGTTGCTACCAGGGACTCTCAATTAACTACTCCTTTGCTATCCAAGCAAGATCAGAAGCCAGCAAGCGTTGTTGTTGACATTGAGAAGGCTCCAAAGCCTCCCATTGGAAATAGGCATACGACTTTTCACCATAATGATGCATCAACAAATGGACTGCCTCATATGTCAGAAGATATTGAAGATGGTGAGGTAATTGGGATCATCACCTTGGAAGATGTGTTTGAAGAACTTCTGCAGGTAATTATCATAATCCAATGAATCATCACTTCCTCTCATGTGCAGTAGTGGATCAAGGATCAAGCAGTAGGCAATTTAGGTGCTCGCCTATGGCCCCGAGTATATGAGGGCCCCCACTTATTATAATTTTACTATGTAGTGTATATAAAAGAAACCAAATAATTCTTGGAAACCAAAGGCCAAAATTATAATAATAGATACATTTATTTAATTTTTTTAGTATGTTGTGTTTTTATTTTCCATAAAAGTAAGAAGTTTTACATGACATGATTTATTGATTATCAAAATTATTTTGATTGTGAGGGATATTGAGTAATTTAGATCAAACATATAAATAAAAGTTAGAATAAATAAAATTGTTTTAATTGTGAATGTTATGAATTTTAAATAAAAATTATATTATCACACAAATAAAAGTTACAGTGTAAAAATTATGAAAGCCCTAATTAAAAAATTTCACCTTATGCCTCTGATAAGCTCGAGCTGCCTCTGCTCATGTGTGGCTTCTTGAGTTAACAGTGAAGCGAATGGTGATGGTTTTTTCACAAATGCAGGAGGAGATTGTAGACGAGACGGATGAATTTGTTGATGTACACAAAAGGTATTTTAACCTTTGAGGATTTAATATGAATTTAGGCAGTTTCTGAAAATATAAGTAAAGAATCATGAGACATTGTTTATATTTTGCAGGATACGTGTGGCTGCAGCTGCGGCTGCTTCATCAATGGCACGTATCCCATCAATTCGGAGGTTAACCGGCCATAAGGGACCTGTAAGTGGATTATGTTATGAGTTCTTTTATTTGATCTCCCTTGTGCAGTTCTTTATCGTCATATAAAATGTGATACATGTTAATGCTGAAAATTGAAACTCTATGGGTGATTTAGTCTATATATGGTAGTGTAAAATGTGGATTTCAGAACTTAATTTGTCCCAGCGGGATGAAACTAAGGTGTCTGTCTTTGGAGCTCCAGAAAACTGAGCAACACCTAAAAAAAGAAGTGCAAAGCAATTCCAAAGGTAGACGAAACAATGATATCTTGATTCCATGGAATTTCAATTCCAAATATTTAAAAGTCAATTCCAATCTTGTGCAAACAAATGCACTCTTAGGCTGTGTTTGGATCTTGAATTTGGGTAGGGATTTATGGAGGGAAAAGAAATGGAAATAAATTTTAACTTATATTTCATTCACATTTCCCGTCTCTTTTCTTTTCCCTTCACAAAACCCTATTCAAATCTAAGATTCAAACACAACCTTAGTAAATTTATGTTAGTGTCTAAACAGTTGCTGAATGGATCAGCAATTTTTCAGACTGGAGGATATCCTTGTTGGGATTGTGTTTATTAATTGGTTTAAAAATTGTAAATAAAGATAGTGACATTATTAGGCGTGGAATGTTATAACTAATAGGGCAGGAGTAAAAGTTAAAAATGTAAGCCTGTTATTACAATGTCTGGAAAAGTTTATAGTTAAGTTGTTGGGATTCAATTATCAAATGAACAAGCATATATGGCATTAGAAAAATCAACAAATTTTGGGATTTAATTCAGCTTTTCACTCTTTTGAGTTCTATGGAAGTAAAATCAACAAATGTAGTGTGATTAAACATAAATAAATCTCCAAAGAAGAAATTATTTTTTGTAAAGTTTCCTGATTAGTTTTTTTTTTTTTTTTTTTTTTTTTTTTTTTTTCCATACCTTCTCTCAAATGAAATTTGTTTCAATAATGTCAACTAGTTCTAGTAGCTGAATACTGTTTTGTTTCATATAATAAATTTCTCAGGGAGGCCAAAATAAGCATGGACTAACCACCCCAAAGAAGTCTGCAGAGGAAAGATAGAAATGCAACGAGGTATGTGGAGAATCTTTGTGAGCCTCTTCTTGATAACAAGAGATGAATATGCAATACAGTTTTAATTTATAATACATTGGTTCCAAAGAACCTGAGAGTTTTACTCTTTTATGTGGCAAAAATAAAATAAAGCTTGTACTATATGTTGCAAATTTTGGAATTTTGTTGACCAATTTATCTATTCACATTGTCTCTCATCATTGATCTCGAGTGCTCAAGCTTCTCTCCTTGCCTAAGTGCATGCACACACTGTTATTATGTTGATCAAATGTTGAATAAATTTACTCATCTATGTTGCTGAAATAGTCTTCTTGATCTTGGTTTGCATGAACCCGAGGGCATAAAACCTTTTGTGTGAGAAATAGATTAAAGAAAAATATATTGAGAGAGAGAGAGATCTGTCCAAATCCGAAGGTATCATATTTACACTATTTTCCATGATATACATTAATCTTAAACATCTTCTGATGAACCTCAGTGACATCTGACACTACTTGTTAAATGTGTATTTCGTACTAGGGATTTATTTTCATAATAAGAACAATAATTGAGACGGGAGAAAAAAAAAAAAAAATCACATACGAGAAAGGGATCGACCTTAGTTACCACTTTCCAACATTTGTAAACCCTAGTTATATCAGCTAAAAATTCAACTGCTGCACCACTAGCCTATATTAAACACTTAGAACTGAAAATCATTGTACCCAACTCTAACAAAATTTATTCATTCCAACGAAGAAGAATCACCATGCACCTCCATATGATATAGACACGTGCTCTCAGCTCCCGGATATACCTCACGCATCGTTTCCATGACCAGAACTTTCTGATTCGTGTAGAGAGCGAGTGTCCGGCCATATTCAATGTGGTTGTGCTGTTGTATTGCTATAGGAAGGCACATAGGATCACTAGTCTTATAAATACAGTGAAAGAGGAGGGTGAGGTTTTATGTGAGAGAGAGAGAGACAACATGTGGTGGGTGACAGATGTTGAACCCTGATTGGGGGGATCTGGGGACAGCATGACTGGGTCCTGCTGTTTGTTAAAGATGACTAGGCATACACATCAGCTTTGTCTGCCTGCCAAACTCCCATGGAGAGAGAAGTTTAAAAATATCACATAGTAGAAGGCCACCCTTGTCTCTTAGAGACCTGTGTTTTGTCCGACTGTGTGGAAGATAGCAAACTAACCCCCCTGAATTTCAGGTTGTGTGCTTTGGATTCTATGGCTAAATATCAAAGTTCAATGCCATTGGGGGTCACATTAGCATAGAACATGTTTACATGTTCAATGCCACAAAAACATGTTGGATGCATTTGGAGGATGAGAAAAATTTGCTTGTTAAATTTCAAGCTTCATTCGTGTTTTTAGTGAAACATGGGGAGAAAGGAAGATTGGAGAGACATTATAATGTAAGGTATAAGAGTAATTCTACGGATAAAAAATCATTGAAAAAACTTACAGTAAAAAGTACAAGTGGCCATACACATAGGATGATGGTGGGGCCCTGCCACTGCTCAACTCATGGTGGGACCCCGCTGTCTGACATGTGTGGTCACCTATTTTTGTAAGATGGTGGGGCCCTGCCACTGCTCAACTCATGGTGGGACCCCGCTGTCTGACATGTATGGTCACCTATTTTTGTAAGGTTTGTTATGTTATGGTTGCACAATGTGAATTTAGAAAAAGCAAGCTCAATGCTAACCATACTAAGAAATCATACTACATGCGTTAGTTATATGAAATCACAACACAAAAAACCAACTGTCAGTTGTTGCATTGTATAACATTTGTGAAATTCAATTCAAACCCCTAAATGAATGCAAAGTAGGGTTATATATATATATATATATATATATTATTTTTGTTAACAGGATGTCAGAGGTTTCTCTCAAACTAATTCTTCAGTACATGCAGTCCCCCCATCCCACATATAATAAGTAATTATCGAGTCCAAGTCCTGAGGGTAATTTTAAGGGGAGCAAGGAATGGAATTTTACAATTAGTCTAACCCTTGAGATTTGAACCTAAGACTTATTGAAGAGAAGGGCTATAAACTTAAAAGTGAGGACTTCCGTATATATCACCTTTTTGTAATTGTTCTTCACCCTTCTGTAATTGTCCATCACCTTACTTGTGAAGAGTCACTATTGTATATAAACTATTTGCTATGCATGAGTAAATACTCTGCTACCAATATAAATATTCAACTAACCAACAAGAAGAGAAAGTAAAATTAATAATAATAATACTAATAATATGCATACTTTTTTTTATGAATTTTTTCATTAATGGTATCTAGAAAAATCCTTCGTGCTTCTAAAAGCCAAATGAGGGGAACAAATTAACATTCATACATGCAAACACTTGAAGTGCGGGATGTCTACACTACGATGTACAAGCTAGTAAAACAAAAGCATATTGATGAGAGAGAGGGAGAGATTGATTGGTAGAGTCATATATATATATATATATATATACTTTTCTCTTCTTCTTTTTTCATTCCTTGGGTTTTGATCTAAAATCCCAATAATTTACAAACATGGTATAGTTACAGCCTTGTATATATCACCTTTTTGTAATTGTTCTTCACCCTTCTGTAATTGTCCATCACCTTACTTGTGAAGAGTCACTATTGTATATAAACTATTTGCTATGCATGAGTAAATACTCTGTTACCAATATAAATATTCAACTAACTAACAAGAAGAGAAAGTAAAATTAATAATAATAATAATATGCATACCTTTTTTTATGAAATTTTTCATTAATGGTGTCTAGAAAAATCCTTCGTGCTTCTAAAAGCCAAATGAGGGGAACAAATTAACATTCATACATGCAAACACTTGAAGTGCGGAATGTCTACACTACGATGTACAAGCTAGTAAAACAAAAGCATATTGATGAGAGAGAGGGAGAGATTGATTGGTAGAGTCATATATATATATATATATATATACTTTTCTCTTCTTCTTTTTTCATTCCTTGGGTTTTGATCTAAAACCCCAATAATTTACAAACATGGTACAGTTACAACCTTGTAAAAAGCTAACAAAACCCAACAAATGAAAATGTAAGTACAATATAGAACTTATAAAAGATCCTTTACTGAAAACAAAAAATAATAAACTCGAAAACTAAACCAAACTGCAAGTTTCTAAGAGTACTTGTGCCAACACAAGAGCATAGAGATGCACACCCTCATGATATAGAGCTTTGCTCTCTGTTGTCTCACCCTTCTCTTCCACTTAGCATATCTCTTACCCATCCTTGCCATTTAGTCCCTAATTCCACTTCAGTCTAGCTTGAACCAAGCCTTAATTTATTAAGGACTCTACTTGCCAAGCCACATTGGATCCACATGTAAACCTAGAGGCCTTATCAAGGGGCTCCACTTGTATCTCCACGATGCCTCGATGTCACGTGGCATTTTCTGTCTCCAAGTTCAACCTAAACATCCTATCAATCAGTCAAGATGCCAGCAACTTATCATTGTTGCCTCATGTTAAAGCAATTTTAAGTACTTGTTTGGTACAACTTATTTGGTATAACTTATTGGAGCGGCTTTTAAGAATTTTTTTTTAATATGTATCAAAGTTTTAGTGTTTTAGTTTCTATTTATAACTTATTAAATAGAAATAGTTGATTATCTAGAAATTAAGAGATGAGTATTTTTAGTTTCTGCTTTCTTATTATCAATTTTCAGCATAAGAAAAATTACAACAAACAGACTAACATGAATCTTATCCCTCCATTGCTGCTAACCCCACACCATCATCTTATCTGGGGGCACCATCTTTTCTTCCCAAAGTTAACTTTGGACAACACAAAGGGGAGTGAGTGACCCCCTTTTCACATTCAATAAGAGCCTTAGATAAGCCCTAAAGTCAATCAAAAGGGTCCCACTTCATGGGTTTAGCGATGTCCATGCCATGCTAAAGAATGACAATGACGGGGTAGCTATAGATGTATATATATCTTATCTTAATAGCATTAGAATCAATGATAAGATCTTTTATAGCATGTGTGAATCCCATGTGAACATGTGGACATGGGATTCACTGCTGATATATACCCAGCTGGTATGGGTACTAATTTGATGGATTAGTTGGAGTTTATATCAGAAACTTAATTGATATAATAATCGCTACGGACAGAAATTGATTTGTACACAGAAAAATATTTAGTAAAAAGTGCCATTTAGATTCACTCAAAGTGTAGACTTCATTATATAAAAGTTGAATCTAAATCGCATACTATTTTTCAAAAAGTCATCCCAAACATACAAGTTTTTTTTACCTACCTTTTTAGCCAAATAGCCAAAAAGCTACTAAATTAGCTTGTTCCCAAACGAGGCCTAATTTGATGGATTAGTTGGAGTTTATATCAGAAACTTAATTGATATAATAATCGCTACGGACAGAGATTGATTTGTACACAGAAAAATATTTAGTAAAAAGTGCCATTTAGATTCACTCAAAGTGTAGACTTCATTATATAAAAGTTGAATCTAAATCGCATACTATTTTTCTGGATAGATTTCTATTCATGAGTTCTAAGTCGGTAGCTTTATTTGAATTGATAGGGTTATTGTTGAATGGCACAGGACAAACATGGTGGAAAGTGATAGGAGAGGAAGCGACATGGAGGCAACTCATAGATCAAAACCATTGGAATGTTGTTATTTATAAAAGAAGGGCAAGTTTTTTTAGAAGTACAATAATGGGGCTTGGTAGTGGTGGATGTGACTAACTGAGACACCAGAATCACAACATCCCCTTTAAAGAAACAACATAGGAGAGAGAGAAAGAGTTTTGAAGAAGAAAATTGTTTGAGACCACTAAAACAATGAGCTCTAATAGCTCTAAAAACACTGTGCCCCTAATTGATTTGATGTTTTGCTCTTTGTTTTTTTTATTTTTTTTATTTTATGGACTGCCAGCTCATTAGAGCTGGCTTAGTGGTCCATTTTTAGTGGGATCTATCACCACTGTTTAAAGAAATATGTTGTTAGATTCTTGACCTTATTGGCATTTAATAAATGGAAAATGTTTGAGGGCCACAATTTTTGTGGCTCAAATGGCTCAAAATTGCTAAAACGACGTTGTTTTGGCAATTTTGAAGTTGTTTTGTACTCAAAACGACGTCGTTTTAGCAATTTTGAGCCATTTGAGCCACAAAAGTTGTGGCCCTCAATCATTGCTGTTAATAAATTGGTTAACTGAAGCATACTACAAAAACATAACACAGTTAAAAATTGAATTTTAGTCGAGAAGATATCAAAAATAAAATAATAAATTAATATAAATGTATTATATTTATTTATCAAAAAAAAAAGAAGATATATATGTATTATATTTATGTGTGTGAACACACAAGAATTAAGCTCAAGATCAGCCCTAACCGTAAAGATAGGGTTTTGATGAAGTTATTTGAGCAGTGTTGGTAAAAACGCACTCAAAAGCACAAAGAGCAACAGAAGAAGAGCTTTTAGTAGTTAAAATGAAGCAAACTTCTACTACTACTGCAAAGAGGCTATACTCGACCTATATACCGACAGTAAACACTGTTTGATTTTTTTTTTTTTTTTTTTTCCTTGTATTCTTCTTCATCAATCAGGAATTTGCAATGAACATAACTGTTTGCTGTTGTTCTTGTTGGGCTTGACTATCCTAGTGAACTACTTACATTGCCATGTACAAGCCTACCCATTTGAAATTTCTGTTGTTGCTCTCCCATTATGATTTTGGCTTTAAGACATAAGTGGGTATGACAAAATTGTGTTGAGTTTGTGAACCTAATTAGTACCGAGCACTTAAGCACTTGGTCAAGGATCCAAATCTGCTGTGAGTTGGCAGTGGTTTTCTCAAGGAACTAGTACCCCCGAGGCAAATTGTGTTGAGGGTATTTCAGTAATTTGTTAATATAAATTCTAACGTATATATACACAAGTAGATATAAGCATATCTCCTCCAATTTTTAGGCAATCAATTTTTCAATTTAAGTAAGTTATTTTTATCTTACAAGTTGTAAGGTGAGACAAACTTTTAAAATAATTATAAGAGAGAGAGAAGTGTTACAAGTAACCCAACGAACTGCATCAAATAAGGTCATTGTACTTTTCTCTTCTTTCAATATATTAGAACTGGTGTGAGCGTAGGTAATCTTACTAAACTATGTAAGTCTGTTTCGCGTTTTTTGTATGTGTAATTTATTTCGCACCAAGTTGTTTCTTGATTTATTTATTTATTTCTTTTACAAAAATAATTTTGAGAGAATATATGATCAATTGGAAACGAGAAAAATAATTGTAAATTAAAAAAAAGTATAAGTGAGACAAGTGGCCAGTATAAATGAAATCATTCACATTTGCACCTAGCCCATTAATGTTGGGTTAAAAAGAGAGGGACAACTAAATGAAATCATTCACATTTGCACCTAGCCCATAAATGTTGGGTTAAAAAGCCCTGACATATGCAGAGAGGGACAACTAATAAATTGTACTCTCTTCTCAATGCAAGTATATTGGTTTGCAATATTTATTTGGGAAATGCTAGAGAGTTCTAAATCTAGAGCTCTAATTTGAGCTCTAGTGATGTGTCAAAGCAAAAAAAAAAAAAAACAAAACAAGGCACAAACATCACATCAGGGTGGGTCTCACCTTCTCATTAGAGCTATTAGAGCTCTTATATCAGAGCTCTAAAGCATTTTTGTATTTATTTTGCCTGCAAAGACACTCAAGAAGATAGAACAGGTTTTGTAATATTTCCGGATTGTTAATTTTTTAAAGCTGAATAATATTATATGTATCAATTGATATATTAATTAATATATTAATAGATGATGTAATGAAATTTTAACGATTTTGGATATTTATAATTTGTATAACAGGTGGAATCATAATTTTGAAGTAATAATATCATAACATATATTGGTACACTAATTGACATACCAATTAATACTTGTAACACCACCGTTTAAAATTCTTTATGTATATTTGATAATTGTAATTTTTTTATTTTATCGCGTTTGTTTTCAAAAAATAGATGACAACTTGACAAGTATGTTTTTAAAAATAAACTACCTATTTTGTTTTTTTAAACAAACATGACCAAAAAAAAAAAATTACAATTATTAGATTAATTTAATTTTTTCATAAATAATGTACATGTATAGTCTTAAAATTGAACGATTCAGATTATAAAAACAAAACCTGTTGTGGACTCCACGACCCCTTAAATTCTCTCAAGTTAAAATGTGAACTTGATAAAAGTCCAACCTTAACAAATTTTCAAATGTCACATTGGGTTATTTTGCAAAGGAACATTGGTTACGACCGACCTATCATAACGGTTTTGGTTACGCTCAAAATAATTTTCTGTTATGACTTAAAATAGTGTTAATTATGATCTAACATATCTCTATTTAATATTTTATTTTTAAATTCAACCTAAAAATAAGAATGCATATAATATGTATTTCATGAAGGTGCATAGGAGAATTTTTCTTTCTTTTATATTTCTTTCTTTTTTTTCAATTCAACCTAAAAATAAGAATGCATATCATATGTATCTTTATGAGGGTGCATAGCAGAATTTTCTTTTATTTTAGAGTGAAATGTCAACATTTAATCCCAACAGAAAATATATATATATATATATATATTATTTTGTACATATTTTCTATTTATATAACATTACCCTTTATTTGATATGATGTTCCTTGATACATTCATTACTGGTGCGAGAATGTTGTAATTTTTTAATATTAATTCAACATGTTATAATATTTTCAAATTAATAGGAGTGGTACATATATGGATGACACCAACAACTTATCTTGGGATAACTATCTTCTTTTATCACATTTCATATGTTTTTTTGATATCTCACAAATGTGATAGTTGAATGTTAATAATATTTAGGATGTATTATAAATTTATTTTTTAAAATTTATTTAAAATATAGGTTATTTTTAAGAAAAATTAATCTAAGGCCCCTCTCCCATTTTTAATAATGGAAGAGATCCATAATATTATTTTTTGATGTCTAAGGTCCCTAAACCCCACACCCATCTATCACAGAGAAATTTGATATATCCTACGCGCGCTCTCTCTCTCTCTCTCTCTCTCAAAGGTGAGATCACTATGTTCTTGTCTTGATCATACAACTCAAAGGCATCCTTCAGCCTTACCATACCACCGTCATCTCCGGCGACTCCGTTGGTGTCGTCACCACCCTTGTAGAAATCGGCGAACTCTTTGAGACTGATGAAGCCGTCAAGGTCAGTGTCGAGCTCCTTCATCATCTGCTTCACTTCGTCCTCCGATGTGTTGAATTGGAGAGCTTTCATGCCTGATACGAGCTCCATCGCCGAGATCTTGCCGTCGCCGTTGGTGTCGAAGTGATTGAACACCTTTTTCACCTCTTTATTGTCCTGTAGGTACACTGATGGCTTTGGGCCTGAGTTAGGGTTAACATAGGAATGGATTGATATTGACGAAGGAATTGCACGCTGTGTTAAAGAGCTTGGGAGAGAAGTGCTTGTGGAGAGATTGTTTGAAGATGATCAAGTCTGTTGAATTTCTCTGAGAAGTCCAGTCTAGAGAAATTTGGATTCCTAGAATTTCTTTAGAGTTGTGGCTGTGTTTTTTTTCTCTTTTCTTTGAGCTGTTGTTGACTTAAGTGAAATCATAGGTGGCTACTTTGCAGTTGTTGTATCTATTTGTTGTCCAGCTTATTCTAGAAGGGTCAAATCGAGCCATTGATGGGTGGAGTTGATATTGTTATTGCCTCGTGCTACCTCCAGTTAATCATTTGTCTTGTTGTGCATTTGTGTTGATATTATCAAAGTGTTGTTACTTCTATGGCTTTCATGGTGCTGCTACAGCTGCTTATTTGATGTAGAAAGAAGATGATAATGATGATGAAGGCTATCAAAGAATTTCTCTGGAGTGGTTTAAATTTTCTCTAGATCAGGTAAGAATAAAGTAGAAATTTTTTTAATTTCTCTAGAGTGGTTTGAATTTTCTCTAAATCAAGTAAGAACAAAGCAAAGAAATTTTGAGGTTGCGTTTGGTAAAGCTTTCTAAATATGATTTGAGAGTAGAAGTTGTATTTTGAGTTTGTGAGTTTGGGAATTATGATTTGAGTGTAGAAAATTTGGTTGGTAAAAGAGTTTTGAATTGAGTGGGGAATTTTTGATGTGACATATGATATTTGATAAAAAAACTTACAACTCATAACCAAACATACAACTCAAAATTCTATTAAAGCATATAACAAAAATTTAAAAATTCGAAAAATATTTTTTTCGAATATATAAAAATTAACATATGTCAATTGTAAAAAAAAAATTAAAAAAATTGCACTGTTCTGGTCAACCGGTCGGATGACCGGTGGTACAATCGGTTAGGCCAAATTTTTTTTAAAAAAAAAAAATTGAAAATCACGCCTCTATGTGAGTTTTTTGCAGAATTTTCTAAATGTTGTGGAAGTACACTTTGAAAATCCTATCCAAACATCATATTGGAATGTGATGGTAGAATTATAGTTTGGAAATTGTTCCAAACACAACTTGAATTTCTCTGGAGTGCTTTGAATTTTCTTTGGATCAGGTAAGAACAAAATAGAGAAATTTTGAAGCCTTGTGAATGCACCTTGCAATAAATTACAGATTTATAGTTGAGAGAAATTCTCAACAATTCAAATTTATAGTCCAGAGAAATTCTCAATAATAATGAAGCCTTGTGAACCAAAATTTCTCTGTGAAGTCTAGAGAAAATTCGTCCAAAAAAATTTTTTTGGATCGAATTTTCTCTGGATCACTGTTGAAAGACCTTAGACATTATGAAAATATTAAGTATCCTTTATGCTATAAAATCTTAATACCAGAGACCTTAAAA